GAAATATATAAAAGCGATGAATATTTTTGTGAAAATGTTTGTTTTCTGCTTACATTAAAGCAAAAAGTAGATCTATACAATGATAAATGTACCTAGGAGAAGTTCCTAAACTTTGTATTAGGCAAGTGGTGCTATTTTATTTTTCGCAGCTGTATTTGAGTATATCAATATCTGATTCTTATATATGTAGTGGAATATATAACACATTATATAGAAAATATATTAAAATATATTAAAAATATATTAAAACTTAATGATATATTTTTGTATTTATTTTAATATATTTCCTTTCAACTATTTAAAGTTCTTTACATTCATATGACAGTCTATACTATATTTTATGCAAAGTATTTTAATAAATGCACTTGTAGAAAATATATATTTATATTATATATTAAAATAGATAAAAAGTATTTTAAATTATAAATTATAAAATATATAAAAAGTATATTAAATTTAAAAAAAATATAATTTTTGTATATTTAATATATTTTTATATTTTATATATTATTTTAATATATTTTAATATGTATATTTGGTATATTTAAAATTCTTTATATTCATATGAGTCTATATATATATATATAAATGAACCCTAATTTATTTTAGTTATTTAAAAAAAAATGTATATAAAGAAAGCCTTAAAATCTCCACAGCTCAACAGTAATGGCATATAATTTCTTAGCAGAAATAAAAATATATGCAAATAACTTTTTTCAGATTAAATTTAGAATAAATAATATTATATATTCTTTCTCTTTTCTGTACATTCATTATATATATTTACGACACACTCTATATAAATTAATAGAATAACAAAACAAAAGAAAACACTGTTTACATAATAGTTAAAGGCTTTTTAATAGACCAGATACTTCTGCAGAGTTATCTGTCATATTTTTCTAGTTGCCACAAAAAACAATTACATATGCAAATGTCAAGCACTGATTGTTAATTACATAATTGTCTCATTTTTAATGCATTGTTTGCCCCATCAGCTCGTTCAGCTCAACGAGCGCCACTCACGTCAATTGCAGAGGCGATTTGAATAGAGTTGATCGAATTTGAATAACTGAACTGAAACGAACTGAATAGGGCTAGCAGCTAGACGAGTGGATAAACGGCAGTGCTGGCAATACCGCACTGGTTGTCCTTGTTGCGGGACATGCGTATGTAGCCGGCCTCGCCCCAGCTGGCGCCATAGGAGTTCTTCACCAGCCAAAAGTCGCCGCCCTGTCGATCGTGGCCATAGCCCACCACGAGCACGGCGTGATTGGCCTGCTTGTTGCATTGCCTATCGTCCAGCACGCCGTTTTTATAGTTTCGGAAATTCTTGCTCGCATGGATGGCCACGGAAATGGGGCCCTTCGCGGCGACTGCCACGGCCAGGTGGGGCTCGCCCCTCGCCACTTTGACCACGCCAGTGATCTGGGCGCCAATGTGAAGTGGATCGTAGCGACAGGAGAGCTGCTTGGCCTCGTAGGTGTAGGAGAGTTCCGTGTCGATTCCCCCATTGTCCAGCACGTATTTCAGTGCTCGAGACGGCATTCCACCCTCGCAGCCCCTATTGAAATAGCGGATAGTTGAGCAGTCCACCAGGTTCTGCTCGGAGAGCGAGACGAGCTTCCCCGTCTTCAGGAAGTTCATGCTCTCCAGGGTGCCCGTTGCGGAGAAGGCCCAGCATGAGCCGCACTTGCCCTGATCCTTCACGGGCGTGACGGCGCCCTTAGTCCGCCAATCAATCTCCGTGGGCAGCGCCTTGGCCTCGTCTGGCGTATATACCAGATCCGTGTCGAATGTCAAGTCCGTTAGGTTCATGCTGCCCAGCATCAGGCTATCGAACTCCTTGTCCAGCATGTCCGTAAACTGATTCACGCCCATTTCGTAGCTCTCTTTGTTCAGCCTGTAGCGCTGATTGTGCCTATCGATCTGCTTCTTGTTGTCGAAGAAGATGAGCTTGCGCAGCAGCTCCTCCTCCTTGCTCTCATAGACCTTCTCATAGTCCAGCTTATACGTCTCCCACTCCGCCTCCAGCACGTCCGTATAGGAGAGAGCCCCACTCAGCCCAACAAGCGCCAAAATTGCAATCACTGTCCTCATATCTAACTTCAAACTAAATCGAACGCAATACGAAACATTCTATTTATAAGAAATGCAATGAGTCGAGGTGCTTATCAGTCGAGAAACTAAATAAATAAATAACCCTGATTACCAGTAAATTGATGTCTAATCTAAAGACGGACGATTATTTGAAATGAAAAATTGGCACCTTTATCACTTTATCAAAACGTGACACATGATTAGTCCATAAATAACGGGAAGACCCTTTAAATAACCC